TCAATGTATACCTTTAGAAAATTTTTTAAACAGATTCTATATTTATGAATCTTTTAAATTGTTCTGAAATGCTGTATTATAAATACCTTTGATTTACTGGTTTATTTGAACGCTGCTGCGAAGGCTATTAGTTATAGGTCATTTAGTAATTAAATTAAATTTTATAGCTGCAGCTAGGGAGCGCGAGCGTTTTAAAAGTGAAATATGAAACTGGGTGTTTGACTCATATTCATGCGCAGGCGAGCTCATATTCTAAGGAAGTTCGACTTAATAAAGGCCATCGTGATTTAATGCCAATTTCTCGGTGCATCTAACGGTGGTTACCTCGAGGATAGTCGAGAAACTCCGGTGCCGAAAACTCGTTTTAACATCTGCGATAAGGAACTGAATTCGTTACATTGCATAGAAAATTGTTGATGATGGTGAATGATCGATATTAAGATTATTGTTCTGAGTTGAAAAATATCTATGTATAATTCCGATCAATTTATCAGTCTCTAAAAAATACAGTTATATTAAGCTTAAACTTAATAATTAATATTAAACTTAATAGAAGAGATGAAATATAATAGAGTAAACATAGTGAAAAATGCTTAGATAAAAATTGACAACGGTCCTTGTTTACAAATATCAAACTATAAATTGTATTTGTGAATTTCGTATATGAACCTTTGATTGCGTATAAAGATGGGTCTAATCAACCAAATTTAAATGATTTATATATGAAATAGGGGTAGAAGAAACCAACAAAGAGATTGGTTTTTGAGTTTTTGATGCCAATATGTTCAGTGTTCTAAAATGTCGAAATATTGCATTAAAATCGCATGTCCGTATGTATGTATGTGCAGATTTGATGTCCGTGATTGCTCTAACTTCCGTAAATATTGAAATATCGGGCTGTTTTTTTTTAATCGATAGAGTATCATTCAAAGAAGGTTGGTATTGAATTTGGCGATGATCGGTAAAGGGTTGCTTTTTTAAAAAAATTTTGTATTTTTTTAGAAATGTCCATGGTTGCTCTAACTTCCGCAAATTTGAAGATATCGATCATATATGAAATAGGGGTAGAAAAGACCGAAATAAAAATTGTATTTTGAGTTTTCGATGCCAATGTGTTGCTTATAAATTATATATTTATGCAACCGTAAATTTTATTCATGCACCAATTGTTGGTTATTAATTAATAATTTCTTGCATTAGTCATGTAGTTTACTCGATTTAATTTGACATTAAATAAGGCAAATTTAGTTTATTCAAATAGTTTTTTTTTACAGTGTATATACTCTTTAATGTTTATTTAATATTGTTACTGTAATACTACAGCTTTGTATGAACCTTTTTTATTCGCGAATCAACAAATCCACGTATTCTTTTTTAATCTACAGACCATCGAAAGTTTGATTGTGAAACTAATAATTTATAATTAATTTGTTTCAGAATATCCAGCAGCAGTGACGGCGGAAATAGTCGATGTTAACATGAACTCGTTGGACGGCACGACAGGAAAGCCATTAGATGTCGATCTGCCACCAACTCTGCCGATGACCTTCGGCACGGAAAATTCAACATCGGTTTCGGCGCAATCAGGATCCACAGCTCTGATGCCCTGTGTTGTCCACAATCTAGGAGAGGGCACGGTAAGGGCTTATTGAAACACGTAATTCGTTGATTGATGCATGTGAAACTGGTACACAATTAAATACGCGTGGGCAACACTCCATTGTTTATATTATCCTGCAAATGAAATAAAATCTGTCACGTTATATACATATACATATATATATATATATATATATATATATACAAATATAAAATATAAAAATATAAATATATCTATATATAATTAAATAAAATTTTATTTAATTATATAGTATATTTATAATGTATGTAGTACCTACATATATAAAATGTAATTATAGAATCGGATTAAATATTTACATTTTTTATTTGTTCCTCTAAAAAAATAAAAATTTCTTGATTTTTCGTTTCGTTAATGCTGCACGTGCTAATTGAACGATTAATAGTTGTCGAATAGGGCATAACCATATGGCCACCAATATTCTGTAATTATAGCACAAACGAGCTTTCTCTGTAACTGGTATTATCGTCACGAGCTATATTCATTAATTATAACCGATTTTGTGATAATCAGTGTCATCATACGATAGAAAATCAAATTTTCGTTCAAAGCATGAATAATATGAGTGTTAACTAATGAAAATAGATGAAATACCGTAACTGTTAACTGGTAGCATTTAATTTGATATAGTAAGTTTGCAGGCAATAGAAATAAATTTATGGTGAATTACACTAGCAGTAAGAGCGTTTCATTTTCCACGTAAATTGTTGATTATTTATTTGAATATTAGGTTCTACAGGCGCTTTTCACTTTTTTACTTTACGTGAAAGTATCGCGAAAGTGCCAGTCGTCAACATCGATAGAATGGAATAGTTGGGGCGGATATCAGTATAGCCAAGCGTCGATATCGATGTAAAGTCGTGGCGACACAAAATCACAATTGGGTCAATAGTGATGCACTGTGGTAAATTCAACATCGACGATAAAACGAACATTATTCTCGATGCTTTGCGCTGACATAAATCGCGAAATTTTTTTCCTTGAAAGTTCTCAAGGGGAGTCCCAAAGCCGCCTGTGATACGGACTTTTTAAAAATACTAGGAACCCCTTAACGCCATGTAATTAATGAAAGAATGTAAGCCCGCTGTCAACAATATCAGAATTTCGTAAACCCTTTGAATAAAGTCCACTCGATATATATTATTGCTTCACTGCGCGCCATTGCACGTTCCTTTCTTAGTTGATCCCGAGACAAAGTAGCGTTACGCTTATTTGCACCTTAATTATGCAGGACGAACCGGAGCGACGGAGCAACGTCCTCACAATTGCACAAAGTAAAAGCATTAGTGTTATCTAATTTTCGGCACGACGAGATAACAGCGGGAATAAACAAGATTTCGTCAGTCCGGGGAAATTTTCAGCTTCACCGCTCCTTTTTACGAATCTTAATAGCGGAATGATAATTTTTTTTAGAATCGATGCGACAGCGCCGGGTAAATCACTTTGCCCGGTTTTGCAGATAAGAAAGATACGTATACAACGAACAGTAGTTTCGTCGGAGAGATAGTTTATACAGAAAATTAAATATACATTTTTTTGTGCCGATATGATGGTACACGTATATATAAGTTGTGACTTTTACTAATGCTGGAATATACATTTTCTGTCCTTTTGTTCTTCCATATTGTTCTTTGATATTGTATATTTAATTATCTTTCCAATGTATGTTATTTTTAAAAATTAAACAAAATGGTAGGTGAACAAATAAAGTAAAATGTAACATCAGGAATATTAATAAATTAATATATAAAATAAAATTCTCCCTCTGTGTGCATAGGGCCTTTAGGAGGTTTCAGTAATCGGATTTATTTCAGGCTGACAGGTGATTAGCCCATCGCGCAGGAATATTAATGTATCACAATTAATTATACATCTTTTGCGACACATTTTATTACATAATGTAACGTTTAACTATATAATGTAATTGATTAAATTAATTTTAACTACTTGCTCAAATGTAGCTTATTTCTTCGCAATATTACATTTATCCAAAAATTAATACATGTAATGTTATACTCAAGTCGCATTAAATATTTATATACTTGTTTAAAATATTTCGTATATAATACTTTGTATTGTACAATTTGTATGCGTTAGACGCCACTTTGTACCTAAATCGAGTCGCTTATTTGGCAAGTTGTGTAAGTCCAGTTTTGAAACATCATGAATTTCAATGAGACGCGAATATGAACCGACACGTGACGCGCGCCGATCATAGCTAGGTTTTCGAAACTGAAGTCATACCATCGCCGAAATGGATTGGTAACACTCGGGATGTCGATACGCCATTAGATAACACGCTGATATCTACGAGACGTAACGAGATTGCGCGAAATAATAAAACAGACCCGAATGCATTTAGTACAATTTAACGCAGCACGCGCATAAAATTCTGCGGTGTAATCTCGCCTCTTCTCGGAAGAACGCAATTCGTGGCGAGAGAATTAATGCGGCGATTACAAGTTTAAAGCGCTGTTTAATTAATCCGATGTTTTCACAACTGCGTTCACAACTGCCTTTCTTATGCGCGGGCGGCGTCGCGACTTTACGATGTACCTATATCCTCTACGTAGAGCGCGCGGCCGCGCGAGAATTCCTCTCTACTCTCGTGGTTAACGTTGTTATCAAGTTTGTTTTCTTTGTTTACCGCACAATAACTTTGCTCGCGCGTGTATCAACGCAAAAGTTTTTCTTCGCGGAGGAAAGCGGCGACGCCGCCGCGGATTTACGTGTCCCGAGTCCGCGTACCGAGATCGTCCAGAGAATAGAAAAATCCTTCGCGCGTGGAAAACGTGCGAATACAATCGGGAAGTCTCTGTTATTAAAACACCGAAAGCACCACCGATGTTGTTTCAGCAGGATGGATGTCAGCGTACAGCCTGTCATAACTTAATACAACTGGCATTTGCCCGCCGCAATGTTGCGCTGATTTAACATGCGACGCAAACACGGAGCAATACAATCAAATAGAGTTTAATGAACCATTTAATGAACCTATTGCTTGTTCAACTTCATTCACCACTACACATGCACGCGTCAAAGTTGGATAACACGACGTAGAGTATTAATTATCAACTATGTATAGTCGCCAATTTATCGATCCATAAAAATTAATACAAAACCTCGCCAACATGAAGCTCGCTATTCAAAACATTTCCGCTCGTATAAAAAGAATAATTATATTTCATCTTTTATTGTCGCAGATTTTTATCTTTGCTGCACATCATTTATTATAAACTAAAAAATGGATATTTTTAAATTATTAACCATATTCTTATGCACAAACTTTATTTTATGACAATCCTTTCTCATAGTTTTACGGATTTAATAAGATTCTTGATTTCCTAGAAGGATGCTTTAAAAAATGGTGTCGCGCGGAAGAATGCAATCCACTTTCGTGTACGACGTTTGACCATTTCCAGAATCTCAAGAATTTAATTAATTAATTTGCAGCGTCCTCGTGGTTGGATCTTATTAGAAATAGTTCCTTTTGCTTTCTAGGAGAAGATGTAGTTACAGAGCTAGGCGCCAAATTGCCGCGCGACCAAAATTCCAAACTGCAATATATTGCATTAACGCAACGATAAATTTAAAGCGTCATTTAATTAATTCCATTTTCGCGGCGTTTTACTCTCTATTATTATGTATTCGCCGCGTCACATATGTAAGTATCGTAAGTGCCGATGCTGTTACACGCGAATAACGTGAAAAATGGCGCGTAAATATTTCTCCGCTCTTCTAATTCGGGAGGATAATGTCGGAGTGAAGTTCTTTGGAGCTTACGTACGCGCGTACGTCGAGAAGATACCTAAGAAAAATACATTGGAGTGTTTTATAAGTAAAGACAAATAACGGTCGGAACTGGTGTTTACATAGTATCAAAATTTCCGACGCGAAAGAGATAAATCCGAGACGCATTTGTTACAAAACGGAATTAAATATATTGTTTTTTTTGCATGTTTTGTGTTTGTTATTAATTAATAACACATTGCGGATGGATAACGAGATATTTCGCGTTTCATATTTCATCGTGACGAGATATCTCGCATTTTTTATTTATTAATCTAGAGTAGTTATTACTCAGTAACATAACAGTGATTTTTAACTGCAAACCATAAGTAACTTAACTCTTTGACTGTCAATGACGCGAAAGAAAAAAACTGGCAGTACTCTTCATGACAGAAAAATCAGCACATTCAAAAAAAGATACTTTTAACGGAACAATTAGAACAGGGCTCTATATACTTTTGGGGTCGCTGAATTCAAATCTGAAATCAAAATTGCGAAATTAAAAATGGCAGATCTAATATAATGGACCAAAAATGCAAAAAATTGTTTGATTTGCATAAAAATTTATATTAAAAACTGCTGATTTAAAATGTAAAATAAAAATTTAAGAATTAAAAATGGCAAATTTAATATAATGAGCAAAAATATTCAAAATATGGTTTAATTACATAAAAAGTTTTGAGGGATTTTTGAAGCCACTGATCCTGTTTTTTAAATTAAAATTTGTTAATATGACGGTCAAACAGTTTAATATCGCTCGGTTTGCATAAAAATTAATTTATAAGAATTTTTATAAATTTTTCCGCCATTTAAATTTTAAAATTTTTACCTCAGATTTAGATTGATTCGGCGACTCAAAAAACTCTTAGAAAGCACCTTTTTTATAGTTGCATTAACTCTTTTGTTAAAAGCATTTTTGTCTGTAAGCATTTTTTTCACCTAACAGCCAAGGTAAAAATATTTGACGCAAAAAATGATTTACTGGATATAGTTAGTAATAAAATGTCTGGTTCGCAATGTGTTGAAAATGTGTAAATCAACACTGAGAAAAAAAAATTTATTTAGATTGTGGCCAAGAGTTTATTTACTTAATATAATACCTACACATATTTATTTAGAATTAAATATTTTTATTTAAATTAAGTAAAAATATTTAATTCTAAATAAATATGTGTATTATATTAAATAAATAAGGTCTTGGCAACAATC